GAATTGCTGTTGGTTCTTGGAAAGAGGTATGTGCGTGCGTGCGTGTGCACTCAGTTGCCCTGAAAATTTTGGAAATGGAATACCTCAGGAGCGGGGAGGGGACGTTTCTTCATCTCACACTAGCAGAGAAATCTCAACAGAAAACTCATAGAATTCCAGAACTGGACTTGCACTGTTGTGCTGGCCTTAGACTGCCAAAACCCACTCTGCAGTTTTCTACAAAAGCCCCCCAACTAATAACCAGAACTGGCAGGACCCGCAGTGACTGGACTCTTGCTTCAGAATGCCCGATGCTCTGATTTTGGGGAAAGGACTGGTCCTTAGGAAGAACATCCCCTGTGTGCTGGGAACGGGGCCTTGCACTGGAAAGAGTCTGAAGAAAGGAGACCGTCAGTGAGTCCTCAGCAAAGTAGATGCCTGGTTAGAGTGAGGAGTCCAAAGGTTTAGTTGGAGTAATAACTATGAAAGGAAAAAAGAAGAAGCAGGATCAAGAAGGAGGAACTGTTAGACCATGTGATGCAGATCTGAGAAACGCCGGCCCACCAAGAAGCTCCAGAGCAAAGAGGGCATTGGAGGAGCCCCACCTCCCTCCCCGTTAGGCAGAAATGACGAGGTCCTTGTACCATCACCCTGCTCAGTCACCGGCTGGAGTTAACCCTCAGCTGGAGGCCGACAACTAATCAGACTCCCAGCAGCCAGTGAGAGTCCTTTCTTAAAGGACAGTCTGTTATCTGCATATCCATGTCTGCCACAGGGACTATCTCTGAAGGAGGAATGAGGGGAAACCACAATTTTGAAAACAGGGCTAGGAATTTGACTGTGTGCATAAAGAACCCAATGGGAAACCTTATTAGGCATCCTATTTGGAGGATTTGTCTCCCTATATTGTAATTCACTACACCCCCAAATCGTCAATGAATTTCTTGGTACAATGGCACTGTGAGGAACGAAGGATAGACAGCTGGGGATGTATGGCCTTCCTTTGTCCCTGCAACTCAGCATCCACCTGGAACCCACACCAGGGTTGTAATCCTAAAGTTCCCAGAAATGAACAGCAGCAGAGAGTGACCCACGATGGAGCCAACTGCTGCTTGAAAATAGACTGGGGTCACCCCACCACTGCCA